GGGGGAGGCTGGGGCTTGTGGGCCAGCAAGGGATGCTTTGAGACTGTAGTTAGGGAGACAAAAAACAGGCCTATGCAGCACTTTAAAGACTAACAAGATGGTTTATTAGGTGATGAGCTTTCATGGGCCAGACCCACTTCCTCAGATCAAATAGTGGAAGAAAATTGTCACAACCATATATACCAAAGGATACAATTAAAAAAATGAACACATATGAAAAGGACAAATCAAATTTCAGAACAGAAGCGGAATGGGGGGAGGGTAAATGTCTGTGAGCTAATGATATTAGAGGTGATAATTGAGGAAGCTATCTTTGTAATGGGTAAGATAATTAGTGTCTTTGTTCAAACCTAAGTGTAAGGAGAGGCATTTTAGGGTGGGAAGTTAGGTGGGGTATTTTGGGGCAGGATGGTGCAGGGAGCCTAGAAAAAGGTATTTTGGGATTGCCTTAAGTAAGGGGTTGAGAACTGGCCAAACCTGATCTTCATCAGGGTAACAAAAGGCCCGAGGGGAAAAATGCAAAAAAGAAAGTGTTTTTGCAGTGTTGGGATGCTCTTGGGATACCCTGAACAGTAAGCTGCTGAGTTACCTCTCTGCCTCAGCAAAAGAACGTCACTGGAGTTCAAAGGACATGAGTTAGGTCTTTGCCACACCAGGTGTCACCAGTAACACTGCTTACCTTTCCTTTATCTTGCAGGTAACCTTGAAAACCAGTTCTCAAGTTCCCCCAAGCTGTTTTTCTGTAGTGTCCATTCTCTATTCACAGAAATTACTAAATTTGCTTTCTCCAAAGAGACAGAATGCATACCAGCCTGTTAATGCAGCTGAAGATATATGCCTGTAACAGCACAGAGATGTAAGTGATAGTAACTATGAAAAAGAGAGATTAAGAAGAGATGTAAGTGATAGTAACTAGGAAAAGAGAGACTAGTATGTTACAGATACAAACAAAACAAAATAATGTGCTAGTGATTAAAGTCTAACTTTAGCAAGTTACAAACTTTGCCTAAGCAGCTCACTTGAATCAAACTTCTGAGTACCTTTCCTAGGCCTGGAAATTAGTTCTGTGTAGACTTGAAAAAAGTCTTTCATCATCTCCAGCTGGCTTAATAAAACCCACCTTGTCACTCTAATAAAACATGCATGACATTTTACAGAGTTCAGTGCTTGCTACTCTACCATCAATATCCCTTTCTCAAGTACCCCTCCCAATCCAGTTTACCTCCCTTCCTGAGTCTTCTTTCTTCTGTTGCTCCCTGTTCTCCTTTTCCAATGGAATAAAATCTGTATAAGCCCCTGTCAATTTTGTACCTTCCCACCACCCCCTATATCCTCCCAACCCAGTGATGGTCCCTTGGCATCTCAAACTTCCTGCCTCAAAATCTGGATATTGGGCTGAGCTCATCTGATTCCCTCCTTTCCCCTGCTTGTTACTAAACTGCCATCCTCACTGGATTGTTCTGGCAGAGAAAGAAGGGGTGGGAGATGTTAGTATCTGCCCTGGCATTTGGCCAGTAAAGCCATAGAACACAGCACAGAGAGCTAGAAAACAAAGTTAGGAAGGACTAAGTAGTGAGCAGGGAAGTGGAATGGGGTGGAGGAGGGAAAACAGGAAATTGATGAAAAGGAAAAGGGACTTGGAGAGTTCAGGAGCCAGAGAACTAGATAGGTAGATCTGCCTAAAATTCCAAGTGTCCAATCCCATGATTTGCATAATATTGACCATTGAGAAATCTTAAACTGGTTGATTAGGGCCTTTGTAGAATAATTAATGCCATTTTTCAAAGTTACATAGAGCACATAGCTAATTTTTGCATCCTAATACAAAGATCAGATACTGGCTAACCACAGATCATATGTAAAATACATAAGGCTGAATACTCTTTTCACATACGTGTGCACTGTTCTTATTGATTTTGGTGGAAGTTCTGATTTTGGTGGAAAAGTATGTGAGGGTGATATGTCTCATATTTAAATCTCTCCTTTAAAATCACTTCCTTGGCTATCCTTCATTGAGTGATATTTAATTCATTCATACATTTAGAAACAATAGTATGAAAGTAAGAGATCCAAGAAAACTGTAAGCTTCATTTTGTAGAGGAAACTGAGCCTCAAAGGATGCTGTTAGCTCTTCTTTTGCTAACCCCACCTTTTCAAAGTACACTGCCATTTGATTATATTTTCTGCCTGATTCTAGATTGTAAGTGCCTTGAGGCAAGGATCTTGGACCTTGTTCAGATCTCATTTATACTAGGGTAAATTCAGAGTAACTTCACTTTGTTTGTAGAGTTATTTAAAAATTACACCAGTGTAACTGAGAGCAGGACTTAGTCCATTCTCTTTATATTTCCCTGTAAAGTGTTTTTTTATATTTCTTGCACTGTATAAATAAAACATAGTTTATTTATGTAGAAATATAACTTTTTAAATGTTTTAATATGCGTCTCTTGACCTTTTGCCCTGAGGAAAACATTAGAGCTGTGGTGGGCAATATGTGGCCTGTGGGCTGTACCTGGCACATCAGAATACTCCACTAGGGGCTGCGAGACATGTTGCTGATGTAGCCCCTCCTGTCCGCTATCCCAGTATGAGGTTATTCAACATAGGGGAAGCTGTGTGACTTTTTACACAACTCTGGGAGACTAGGCCTGAGGCTCCTTTGTGCATTCTCCATCACGTGTCAGTGTGTGTGCTCTTCAGACCAGACCCACTCAGACAAACCACCAGGAACAGGCTTAATTCTGTAAAGTACGAAGAACAGGATTACAGTACAGCAGCCTCTTCTCTGCTTGCAGCTTACGTGTTGCCAGCTCAGTCAGTGCTGAGGCCCTGCTGGGAGGCAGAGGGTACATCATGGCAGGAACCAGGAAGTTCTCCAACATGTCATAGTTTATAGTCTACAGCTTTTAGTTCCAAGGGCTGCTCCTGAAGCACACTGGACCTTGGGCTACACCAGTGTTGACTATCTGCATGCACAGGCTCCCCAACCCCGTGTGGCCATGGTTTGCTGTTCCTGGCCAATGGGAGCTGCGGGATGCAGGGACATGCTGGCCACTGCTTCTTGCAGGTACCATTGGCCAGGAATGACAAACTGTGGCCATTGGGAGCTTCGAGGGACTGTGCCTGCAAAGGGTCAAATCAACAAAATGTCTCGTGTGCTGCCAGTGAATAATGCTGATTGACCATGTGTAGATCACAGGCCGCAGGTTGCCCACTACTGCATTAGAGGGTACATGTGCACAAACATAGAAGATCTATAGCACAGCTGTGGCTGGCCCAGGTCAGCTGTCTTGTGCTTGTGGGGCTCAGGTTATGAGATGAAAAATTGTTGCATGAATGTTCGAGCTGGAGCCTAATCCCTGGGAATCTGAGCCCCAACATCTACATAGTGATTTTGACCCCTACAGCCAAGGTCAGTTGACCTAGGCCAGCCACTGATGTTTTTTCCTGTACAGACTTACCCAGAGTGGCATGAAACTTAATTATCATAAACTACTTAGTACTAACGCTGTCCATCAAAATACATAAGTTATGCATTTTTTTCAAGTGGACACCTGTAAAAACTTTCCCTTAAATCCTTTAATACAATAAAAATTCCAGATAAAGGATCTGTGGCCCCGGAACTATATTTGGGATGGGGGTGCTGAGCTGCCCCTTCCCTTGCCCCTTTTGGCCTGTTGAGATTGGGTTGCCAACTAATGATGTGAATGGCAGGGAGTTGCTCTAGCTTTGCGAGGCCTGCCTTGGGCAAGAGGTGCTGAAGCATCCCCAGTCCCAGCTGGACTGAAGTGCCTTCCCACCCATTCACCCGTTTAATTGGTTAAGCGGTTAACTACTTACATAGGATTTTACATCCCTATTGCCAATTCTTCTGGACCAGATGGACTGGATTCCATTGCTGCAAATGGCATCTGGTCCATCAAGTCTGGGAAAGTTGACAATCCTCACCGTTGGAGCCACAGTTGGGAGCAGTTGCAGAGTCCTGGGCCAGTGGTGGGACCCTGTGGCTGGCGGGGCCAGCGGTCTGTGGGCAGTGGAATCCCCAGGGCTGGAGGAGCTCATGAGGCCAGTGGGTGACGGGACCCTGAGAGCCGGTGGGACCCTGGGGGGTTGGAAAAGCCTGTGGTAACAGAATCCCAAGGGACTGGCAAAGTTCATGGGGCCAGCAGGACCCCATGGGGGCTTCCCAAAGGCTGGGACCGAGAGCTGGAGGAGCTGGCAGCAGGGCTGGCCTCTAAGTGCAGGGAAGACAAATGCAAAACCCGAGGGGTGCTGTAGCATTCCCTGCACCTATGTGAAAGATGTTCTAATTCAACAAAATGTTGTTTGTAATCAGTGAAGCAAGAAAAGGAACAAAGAGAATCTAACTGTAATGTGCCAGATTCTTCTTTCACTAGAATTACTCCCAATTTATACTAGTGTAAGTCTGAAAATATGTAAGCTGTATGTTTGTGGTTTTGGACTACAATTCCCAGCCTGCTGCACACTAAGGGTGGGCTGGTGATTGATAGCTTCAATTTAAGTCTCCTCCTACACCAACGACACTGAATTGCAGAGGAAATATTAAAACCGAGCAATAGGAGACAACTCGGACGAAAAACAACAACCCCAGTGTTGCAAGGGAACCAGGAGATGGTTGGATGTGCTAGCGCTTAAGGGTAAGTTATTCCTTTGATTTCATTTAACATGTATTCTCGTTCTCTTTCTCTGTTTCTTTAGTAGGGAAAATTCTTTCAGAATTTCAGCTTATCCTGCTGTCATTGAGAAGAAATACATAGTTATATGTACCACTGTTTAGATTAACAAAAGTGTGTAAACTAGCAAATCGTACAAGATACTGAAATGAGGAAGATCAGTGTAAATCCTGTTTTGTATTAAATGCAGGATGAAAAATCAGGTTACCTGGCACCCTTTGTAGGTCTTACGAAACCTTTTGTTGATGGTGTATTATCACAATTTCCAGCATGTGGCACTAGTACACAAGAGAGGGTTGTTGGAGGAGGAAGAGATTATTGCAAGAAAGAGACTAATTCAGAAAATGTGAAATTGTAATGGCAAAGGATTTATCCTTAGATGTTTTATCTTTCAAGGTTATTACTGAAATAATGCTTTGTGGAAAGTATACCGTTCTTTGAGCAGATCCTGGACTGCACAGCAGCTGCTTGCGCTGCTAGTGCTGAGCAACTATAAAGCCAGTTTAGCGATTCCCAGATTATTGCTCCATCATAAGGGAATCCTTGGATGGTGAAGAGCCACCAAAATGGCTCCTATGTCATTCTGTCTCATACCAGCAAGCCAGAGAGGTGTGGCAGGAGGAAAAGGCATGTGTCTTTGCGGGGAGGGGGGGGAATGTCCAGCTGGTCCCTGGCTGCAGAAATGGCCACTGATAATACATATTAAACACTGCTTTTATTTGCCTGGGAGTTGAGGCTAGTCTTTGGCAGCCCTAGGATTGGGGGAACACAGATAAAAAGCCTGCAATTTTGGATCTGAATTGAGTGCTCTGCAGCCAGTTTGGATAATCCAGTTCTGTATGTGGGTATTTAGATTTTAAATTCTTTTGGCCAGAGTCATAGAGTCTAATTCTACATTGCCTAGCATTTTGTGTAGTCATTTACACTATGGAAAGAGGGTGTCTTTCTGATATGGTAGATTTTTTTCCCAGTTTTGCACTCACTTTACGTAATTGTAAATGGCTACACAAATTACAAAGCAGCTGAGAATCAGGCCATAGCATCTTATTTGGACAACTTCTGATCTTATGCTGGAGTGAACCTGGAGTAACTTCGGTAAATTCACTGGAGTTACTATATGTTTTCACCAGGATTATTAAGAATTAATCTTTCCCACTATGACCTGTAAATCGCAGAGACCTTGATCATTATCTTGAGTTTTTATTAGCCAGTTTTTTAAAACCTCCAACAAGATGCTGTTTTTCTAGATAAGTGGATTTAGCATTCTACTAAAACAAAAGAGTATAGCAAAAACTACACTTTAAATCTGAACAGCGTGAAGAGCTGTTGTTTTGTTTTGCTGTTCAGCAAACTGCTTTGCCTTCCTCACTGGGTCAGTGGTCTTCTGGTCTCCTTGCAACACTACACTAGCGCCAGTAATGTCACTCCACTTCCTCCCCTCAGCCAGCAGTGCCAGCTTCAAAAACATGGCAGCAGACCAACAGTGACAATGAGTCATTGATAATATCTCTCCTCTTCCTCCATCCCAGCTTCCTTCACCAGTTTGGCTAGATCTACACACTATAGCCTTTTTTTGGAAAAGCTATGCAAATTGCACTTCACAGTTTGCTTAGCTTTTTCCGATTGCTTTTCCGGAAGAGGCTTTTCCACCATTCGGGGCCAAATGGCAAAAAAGTCTCCTCTTTTGGAGGAGCCCTTATTCCTTGTAGAATGAGGTATACAGGGCTCCCTGAAAGAGCACATTTGCTCTTCTGCAAAAAAAAAGCGGAAGAGCAAACATGTTCCCTGGACATGGCGGAGTTTTTCTGGGATACCTCCGATATTCTGGAAATCCCCCACAGTCTAGACGTAACCTTTGTGATATTCAGAAAAGGATTTAGATGTTTGCGTGAATCAAAATAGCATCTCTGGTTACACTAGCCAATCTAAGTCCTTAGTGTATATGTAATGCTAACTCTCTATGTAAGGCATTTGTACGGACCCCATCAGCGTAGTCTGTAAGCACCTCATACTCTAAAGCAGCGGTGGGGAACCTAAGGCCCAGGAGCCGGATGCATTCCCCAGCTTGCCTGGATCCAGTTCCCCAGGCTCGGGGATCTCATTCCAGGGCCACATCAATGAAGATTTCAAATGTTATTTATTTATTTATTTATTTATTTATTTATTTATTTATTTATTTATTTATTTATTTATTTATTTATTTATTTATTTATTTATTTATTTATTTATTTATTTATTTATTTATTTATTTATTTATTTATTTATTTATTTATTTATTTATTTATTTATTTATTTATTTATTTATTTATTTATTTATTTATTTATTTATTTATTTATTTATTTATTTATTTATTTATTTATTTATTTATTTATTTATTTATTTATTTATTTATTTATTTATTTATTTATTTATTTATTTATTTATTTATTTATTTATTTATTTATTTATTTATTTATTTATTTATTTATTTATTTATTTATTTATTTATTTATTTATTTATTTATTTATTTATTTATTTATTTATTTATTTATTTATTTATTTATTTATTTATTTATTTATTTATTTATTTATTTATTTATTTATTTATTTATTTATTTATTTATTTATTTATTTATTTATTTATTTATTTATTTATTTATTTATTTATTTATTTATTTGCTTCTCACTTGTGTGTAGCCCCCAACTGATTTTTCTGTGGGTCAGCAGCCCCGCCCCTCAAAAAGGTTTCCCACCCCCACTCTAAAGCATCCTCACAGCAGCCTTGGATGATAACAGAATACTGTTATCTCCATTTTGCAAATGGGGAGCTGAGGCAGAATGGCAAGCGACTTGTCCAAGATCATAGGAAGTCTGTGGCAGAGATGGGATTTGGACACAGGTATCTTAAACCATAGGCTATTGCCCCAACCACTCGACAATCCTGCCATTCAGCTGTACGTTTTCAGTGCACTTGTACAAACATTCACCTTCACAAATGCACTATGAAATTTTGTTATGTCTATTTTACAAAGATACTAAAAATAAGTGATTTGCCCAAGGTCACACAGCAAACTATTAACAAAATAGGGATTACAGCTCAGTAGTTCTGGTACTTGGTTTTGTGCTCTCTCCTATGAACTGTTTTAGGTCTCAGGTAGAGCAAAGGTTCCCAAATTATGGGTCACGATACCCAGTCCTGGGTGGGCCACCGGTGCAGCCAGGAGTGGAGTTTGCAAATAGTATGGGGTGTGGCTGTGGCATTAGAAGTGGACAGTGATGGAGTGGTAGCTGGTGATGGGCCCAGCCCAGAGCTAGAGGAGCCTAGCACCCGTAGTGGGTGGCAGAGGGAAAAGTGGAGGCAATGGGTGAGGAGAAGGGGCTAGACCGGAAAGGCTGTGGTTCCCAGGGCGACTGGAGGGTTCACAGCCATTCTGGCTCTGAACTGCTATACCTTTAATCCATAATAGTTGGATCCTCTGGAGTATTGGCCTCACAGACCCTGGAGAGATTGGGGCTCAGTGATGCTGCTCTGTTTCTTGCTGGACAATACCCTGATTGGGACTGTTCTAGGTAATGGTCATGGCTTGCTTCTGCCTAGCACTGGCAGCCCCATAGCCCTTCCGTTGTTCCTGGGCAAAGGTTGCCTGGGAGATGTGCCAGGTGTTGGATGGGTGACTGGGGCAGAACTATCAGGTGACAAGCTCAAGGTACTCAGTTTGTTAGCAGGGATTGGCTGTGCCACCTGCCTAGGCCATTTGTGATTATACTGGCCCGTGTCTCTTCTGAGGCAGGGGACTGTGCCCTGTGGTGGCTCCTTCCAGGACAAATGTGCGGCAGCTCAGGAAGGCCAGGATACATGTTCAGCCATCCCTTGGCTGATTTCCCATTTGATCAACCTAATAGAATGACCGCTCACCTGCCTGATTGACAAGATGGGAGGAGGCACTCTCAAACTGTATATATTGACATTGGGAAGCACAATTTAAAGGCTCAGCCATTCCACCACACAGCTTGAGTCACGACCCCTTCTTGAGTAGCCTTTCCCCTTGCCTTCAGTTTCTCCCTCCAGAAAGCAGCGGGAAGTGTTAATAGGCAAGGCCAGATCTTTGGTCTCCTTTAGGGCACTTTGTACTGTGGAAAGCTGCCTTAATTGGTCTTCTAACGTTTTTCTTGGGTAGGGGAATTTCTTGCTTTTACAGAGCTAGCTATGGTCTACATTAACCTGGCAAAGACTCAGGTGAGTGAGTAAGCATGGTCCATTCTTGTGACCAACATCAATGTAAGAATTCTGTGGGATGCTAATTAGAGTAGCACCTTTTCTCTTATGTTTCAAGATAAAAAGTCTTCAACATTGGCTTCAGTGTCCAGTAACGTAAGTTTTCTTGTGCCCATGTGGGAAAAGCTATGCCCTTCTGTGACGTAGTGGGGGTGCTTGCTGGGCTGTGGTGACCTCTGCTGTCTGGAGCAAGACCCAGCAGGGAAAACCTCACTATGCAAAGGTGATGCCAAACTTGTTGAACCAGACACCCCCCATGGAGAGGAACAAAGGAAGGTGGAGGCTTCCCTGGCTGGGGGGCAGGGCTGGAAGAGGGTGAGTTTAGTTGCGGGCTGGGAGCATGGAGGAGACAGCCTAGGGAAAGGGGCTGAAGTTTAGGGGCCCAGTCTCCCCCATCTCAAGGGGGCCTGAGGCATCCTAGCCCAGCTCTGTGACCAGATTACATCTGTGCTGTGCTGTACCCTGGAGAGGCAATAAACTTCCTCTATTCCACCGGCTGGTGCAGTCTGTTTGTGCCATTTCGGGGTGCAGGAGACGGGGGACCCCCAACGCGCCGTCACACCTTCTCCACCAGAAGAGAAAACCTCCATCATTTTTCTGTCATCTCCATTTATAGAAGAGAAAGAACCAGAGAACCAGATCATCACTTCTATCTCCACCTGTTTTATGCCATAATATTGACAGAAAAGTAGCTGTAAATCTGCCAG